GTTAAAATAGACAGGTCAGGAGACCTGCTGCACTGAGTCTGCTGGATACGGGGATTGAGGGAGAAGTCCTCATTTATACGGTTTACATGAACACACTTATCTTTATAATGATATAAATTGTGGTTATGTGTATATGAAATTACGAATAACAAATGTAGCAGGGCATTAAATCACTGTTTATTTCTTTGCATTTTAACTTTGTAAACTATAAACTCATTCGTCTCCTCACGGTTTGTTTCATTTTGTGAGCTAGCTTCGTTCGCTCACGTTCTCCCCTGCTGGCCACGCCCACTCCTGCCCGATGCTCGCGGAGCTCCACGCCCATTAATCATGCATCTTTTGAAAAAATTCTGAAGTAGACTTTAACCGAAAGTGGGGGTGTCATGACCCTTTAAGACAGCTTTGTAAGTTCTTACCTTAATTTTTCAAGTATCTCTACATTCTTTGCTGTTTGGGGTCGGGGAAAAAAAAGACTTTTCATTTCAAGAAGGCTGCACCTTTTTTGGTATTACCGGCCACTTTATTAGGTACACTTTACTAGTACCGGGTTGGACCCCCTTTTGCCTTTAGAACTGCCTAAATCCATTTGTGGCGAAGATTCAACAAGGTTGAATTTTGGTCCATATTGACATGATGGCATCATGCAGTTGCTGCAGATTTGTCGGCTGCACATCCATGATGTCTCCCATTCCAACACATCCCAAAGGTGCTCTATTGGATTGAGATCTGGTGACTGTAGAGGCCATTTGAGTACAGTGAACTCATATGACGTGGCCTGTTTTCCTGCCACCACACCGCCACCACCAGTCTGAACCGTTATTACAAGGCAGGATGGATCCATGCTTTCATGTTGCTGGCGCCAAATTATGACCCTACCAACTGAATGTCACAGCAGAAATCAAGACTTGTTAGACCAGACATTTTTTTAATCTTCTGTTGTGCAATTTTAATGAGCAAATTCGAATTGCAGCCTCAGTTTCCTGTTCTTAGCCGACAAGAGTAGTACCTAGTGTGGTTTTCTGTTGCTGTAGCCCAGGCGTAACCAACCCTCTTCCTGGAGATCGACCTTCCTGCAGATTTCAGTTGCAACCCATATCAAACACACCTGCCTGTAATTATAAAGTGCTGTTCAGGTCCTAATTGATTGGTTCAGGTGGGTTTGATCAGGGTTGGAGCTGAACTTTGCTGGAAGGTCCATCTCCAGGAACAGGGTTGAGCACCACTGCTGTAGCCCATCCACCTCAAGGTTGGACGTGTTGTGCATTCAGAGATGCTCCTCCCCTGGCGTCTGGCACCAACAACCATGCCACTTTCAAAGTCACTTAAAGTCACCTTTCTTCCTCATTCTGATGCTCTGTTTGAACTGCAGCAGATCGTCTTGACCATGTCTACATGCCTAAATGCATTGATTTGCTGCCATGTGATTGGCTGATTAGAAATTTGGGTAACACTTTACAATAAGGTTCATTAGTTAATGCATTTACTAACATGAACTAATCATAAACAAAACATGTACAGCATTTATTAACAATAATTAAACATTTACTAATGCATTGTTAACATCCAAGTTCATGCTTGTTAATATTAGCTAACGCACCATGAGTTAACCTGAACTAACAATGTACAACTGTATTTTCATTAACTAACGTTAACTAACAAGAACAAATACAGTAGTAGATGTATTGTTCATAGTTTGTTCATGTTAGCAAATGCATTACTTAACATTAACTAATGAACCTTATTGTAAAGTGTGACCGAAATTTATGTCACTGTGCAGTTGTAACTAATAAATTGAAGTGAAGTCATTTAGAAACGTAAAGGTGAATTTGAAACCATCAAAACAAACACACTCATAATGCAGGAAGACCCGCCTCTTTTTCACACTTTTACTCTTTTTACTTGACTCGCCCCTCACTGCTGATTGGCTGCAAGTGTGTTCACTTGGAACTGTGTCCAACACTGTGCTCAAAAGTCTTGTTCAAATGTTTCTTAATGCCTCTTTAATATGATGCGGACACTATAGATACAGTTGAAGTCGGAATTATTAGCCCTCCTGTATTTTCTTTTCCTCAATTTTTGTTTAACCTAAAAAAATTTTCTATCACATTTCTAAACAGTAGTTAAAAAAAACAATTATTGATAACTGATTTCTTTTATCTTTGCCATGATGACAGCAAATAATATTTGATTAGATATTTTTAGACTCTTTAAGATAATAGTATTCCACTTAAAGTGACATTTAAAGGGTTAACTAGGCCGGTTAGGGTAATTAGGCAAGTTATTGTATAACAGTGGTTTATTCTGTAAACAATCAAAAAATGTATTGCTTAATGGGGCTAATAATATTGACCTTAAAAAATTTAAAACTTCTATTATTCTAGTTGAAATAAACAGAAAAGATTTTCTCTGAAAAATTCCTTGCTCCTTTAAACTTCATTTGGGAAATATTTGGGAAAAAAAAAATCACAGGACAGCTAATAATTTTGACTTCAACTGTATATAGCCGGATGCTTTATTTTGCAATCGAGTAAAATGTAGCGTACATCTTTGAGCTGCATTTATAAGCCGGGGTTTAACATTGCAGCCATTGTTTCTTTTTGTATAACTGGAATGAATCCAACCTTCAGTAGTTGTTTGGATGTCTGGCTTGTGGGGATCCTCTCAGTGTTGTATCCTGATCGCTGAAGCTGCTTGTTGTTGTCCCTTAGGGCTGTGCATGTGTGCGTGTGTGTACAGCATGTGTGCATGTGTGGTCTATGACTGAGATGCAGCTGCTATTGGGGTCCACAAACCAGAAACCTCAGACTGAGCCTCATACATAGGGCAGTCTCTCAGCATGTGCAAGCAAAGCTGCTGCTTCACTGTTGCCTATCGCTTGCTGTTTACATTCACATATTTATAATAGAGATGTTCCAATCAAGGTTTATTTTTAAAGCCCCCTCAACATTTGCCCAAGTCATTTAATATTGAGCTTTTGAATCTAAGTCTGATGCATTCATTTTTCAGATTTGTTCCCCTTTGGGTTTATAATCAAGTTTATCAAGCATCTGTATTGCCTGAAAATTTAATAAATTCATTATCAAATTAAGTTTAATAAAATTAATCTAATGTAATGCTGACAGCTGTACCAAAAACACAGGTGTTTTATGGTAGTTTCTGCCTGGTGCTGGTATCATTTTCACGTTGTTTACCACATTGTTTAAATAGCAAATGCAGTTGCACCCATGGGCTTGCTGGTCTGAAAAGGAGATGTGTTAAGGTGCATTGTTGGCATGTTGCTATTTTGAGTAAACTGTTATAGACTGCACCATTTACCAATTAAAAGTTGGTCTAAAGTCTTTATTTGTTATTTAAGGAGCACATTAGTGATAGACAAGCCAAAATTGCATGCACACATTGCTTATTACACACAAAAGTATGCGCAGCAGCACAGAAATATCTTTAAATATAACAAAAATAAAGAAATAAAATGTAAAAGATTGTTATTGCCTTTATAAATTACCTGCCTCCTGCCATGCATGCTTTACCTTTCGTAGATCCAGATTAGGGATGCTCATTTCGGTTTATTTTAACAGACGACAACCGTAGCTCGTCAACCGAATATTAACCGTTAACCATTAACAGATAAATATTTAAATATTATTTAATAAAAAAAGATTGAGGTGCCTATTCTGTGACGCGTTAAATATTTTAAAATACTGACGTATATTATTATGCGAACAGCAGCATACAGAACATAACAGAACATCTGAATGTACCTGCAGTGTTTCCAGCAGGATAGAAAAAAGAATAAACTAAATAAAAAATAAATAAACAGGCCTGCCCTAGATAATTTTCACTTAAATGACACATTTAGATTACAAAACGAAAACACTGACTGAATCCTTTTTAAGAACCGCATAGAAGCATAGGCTGTTTTTTCCAATAATGTTGTTTTTCTTCCGTCCAAAAGAAAATTTTCAGGCTATTAAATCATTTGCTTCAATAAATATATGCATTTAATTAATGCTTTGTCGTTATTATTATGTCACAAAACCCCTTTTAACATTTTAATAGTAGTCATTTGTTTAAAGATTATGTCATAATGACTTATTTCTCCCGTCTCACTCGCAATAAGCATCAGCACTAGTTTGGGTCAACTCGTCTGTGTCAAACTGTGACCAGAAATATCCTTCTTTCATTTTGCTTCTTTGACAAAATACGTCTGTAGGCACATGTGGTGGGAGGTACCATCGGGCAAGTTCACATATATTTGTTGCACGTCAGCGGCTGATCACAGTGAATTCGCTTTTCCTTTCCAAAAATGCGAAGCGCATCACACTGCCTTTTATGTTGACAAGAAAAAAAGAAGTGCGTGATATTAGTTTAATGCACTTTGTGGCCAAAACACACCTATAACACCTTTAAAGATTAAGAGGATAATGACAGCCCTTTTAGATCATGCGCCTGGTGCGACAACTGTTTTTCCCATTCTTAAAAAATCTAAAGTTGATTTGAATGCGCCAAAAGTCCACATGTATCATACACATAGACCATTTGCTTATACTCAATAAAAGTACAGCCCTATGAATCTAAATTTACACCATTTTAGGCTGAATGTAGATATAAACACCTAATGTATAAGAAAAATTGTATTTTAAAAACTTACATTGACAATGCTTTGGCCCCGATTGTGCACTGGCAATTTACGAAGCATTGTAGGGGGGTCATTATTATTATTTTTATTTCAGATACAGATCAGTGCAAACTATTGTATTTCCCAGAGCCCCACACATCTAATTTCGGTGTCCATCAGTGGGGATCAGGCATTAGATAAAGTAGAGAACCACCCCCAAAACCCCCTGTTATTCACAAACTGCTTTTAATCAATGTCAACTGTAAACTTACCAATTCAAACAGTATTGGTATGAAATCTGATGTTTGTTTTTAGCATGTCAAGCCACTCTTTCCAGTTAGACAGTCACATGCGTAAGACCATATCTTCCTCTTTCTGTCCCCAGATCCACAGAGACAAAGACGCACTCTGTTCCAGTGTTTCCCAAAAGAGACACAGCCTGTCCACAGGTAAGATCACACAGCCCTGACCTCATGTCCTATCGCTGGTTATGTAAAGCAATACTAATGTTAGCCTAGACTGGATTCATTTTAGTTTTATTTTTTCATTTGTAGTTTTTCATATCTAGAGTACTGTAGATAAAAGTACAGTATGTTATTTAGTAAAATATGGCAGCTTTAAACATGTCATATTTGAACATTTTAGTGCCACAAATACATAGAAGTATCAGATAATGATCTGCTTTTTGTTCAGCATTGTAAAAAAGTTGTGCGTTTGGTATAAGTTGAGTTTTCTCATGCTCATCAGGATGTTTGTTGTAGTAAGATTGGAATACTATTGTAAACTTATATTGTAGATTTATTTTTGTTTAGTTTTTCATTTTTTATTTGTTTTTGTTTTAAAGTTTCTACACACACACACATATATATATATATATATATGTATATATATATATATATATATATATATATATATATATATATATATATATATATATATATATATATGTTTAATAAATGAGTTATTTTACATTAAACTGGAAATGAGAAACATTCTTCTGCAACTCGTGGAAATAAAATTCTAAGTATTTATATTTTTATATATAGTTTTATATTACTTATGTTTTATATTATTTTTATTATTATTCATATATTACAGGATTTCTGCAGGCTCTTAAAGTCTTAAAATGTTGTCTTAATTTTCTTCTGTTCATGTATATTTAATCTGGCCAAAACCCATACAATCACCAACAATCCATCTCAAAACTCTCAACTTTTTATTCAAAAAAGATGTGATTTTTAACTAATGTGATTTTTAACTAATGATTTATCATAATGGTTGAATTATTTTCCTTACAATAAAATTTGTTTAAAAGTGCTTTATGTATTTACTGCTGAGGACACTGACCTCGACCGATTGTTCTGCATAGATTTATATTATTATACTTTTAAAACTTTTTACACATTTGTTAATTTTTTTTAGTTTATTTTAAAAGAAAGGTTATTTTGTATGGATACAAGTTTGATGGTTTTTACACAATATTGAAAATGTTTTGCTTAGAAATATCAAATATATATATATATATATATATATATATATATATATATATATATATATATTTTTTTTTTTTTTTTAACTATTTTTTTATTGTATTATTTAATTTATTAAATTCTAATAACTTTTTTTTGATAGGGCAAATAAAAATCTTTTCCATCTGGATCATTTCCTTGGTTTGTAGCCCTTATGAGTTAAAAAAAAATATTCTTAGTGGTCTTAAAAATGTCTTAAACTCTTAAATTTAACTTGGTAAAACCTGCAGACACTGTATTACTGCAGTTGACATATTAAAGAACAAAATGGCTTCATGGTTTTAGTGATTGTTCATCAAACCTGTGTTTATTTTATTAAAATGCAGTAAAAGCAGTAATATTGTGAAATATTCTTACATTTTGAAATGGTTTTCTTAATTATGTCAACCTGAATAGATTGACATGATCCTTTCAAAAAAACTAAATATTTTCATCAGTTGTGTATATATTTGTGTGCTTTTGTATATTTAGGTTGTAAGTTTAGCAACATGCTAGTGTCATTTTATATGTGAATCATTTGTGAGTCACATTGCTCATGCATTTCATGTGATGAACACTTTTTTTTGTCGCATGTATGCTTTAATTGATTGTCTAAGTAGGGAAAATACCATTAAGCAGTATACGACTAATGCTACTCATAGTTTACCCAGCCCGTGCTCGAACCAGCAATCTTCTTGCTGTGAGGCGATCATGCTACCCACTGCACCACCGTGACACTTAATTTATTTATTATACTTTTAACATCTCACAAAAGTTACCTAAGCCACATTTCATTGAACCATGTCAAACCCCTACTGAAAATGAATGTTTTTATTTTTAATTATTTAAAAACAATAAAATAAAATGTTTTTCTTTTTTTATAATCTTCTTGAAACACAACCTTCATTTTATATGCAGTAACTACGCTCTGAAGCTCTCAGTGTCCCGTCGTGTCCTGTGTTTATGTAGTCAGTTGTTTGAGGTAATGATGTTTGCTTTCACTCCAGTGCTGGGTCATTCAGAGTAGATTATAGAGAAAGAGCAGCTGGAGCGACCCTACAGCCAATCCCTTATTTCCCAAGACGCAGAGCCACCTGTGTGTGTGTGTGTTTGTGTGTGTGTGTGTGTGTGTGTGTGTGTGTGTGTGTGTGTGTGTGTGTGTGTGTGTGTGTGTGTGTGTGTGTGTGTGTGTGTGTGTGTGTGTGTGTGTGTGTGTGAGAGACAGCTGACAAAGCTCACACTCTCGTGACAGATCTCCAGTGCTGATCCCGCTCTCTTAACACACACTAAACCCACAGAGAGAGAGAGAGTGACAGATTATACTCGTTTTTACAAGATGTCAAATAAATCTCTGATGTCACCAGAATGTGTGTATGAGAAGTTTCAACTGAAAATACCAAACAGCCCATTTATTTTAAGTTGTCAGATTGAGCTAATTGAGTTTGCAAGAACACGAGGCACCTATTTGAGCGTTTTTGTGTGCATTCCTAGAAATGCAAATGAGCTGCTGCTTTCCAGACGAGGGCGGGGCTTCTACAGGCTAGTGCGACAGAAACAACAAAACCAAATGTTAGAAATGACCAACAAAAGATTAAAAGTTCATATGAATTTAAACGTTTTTAGATGTTAGTATCAGTATGTCAGCCTTGAGGATATTTATAAGCTAGTGTGCTACAAAACAGTGACAACGTTTGCATTTAGAAGATATAAAAAAAATCAACGTTTGCAGTTTGTCACTTTTACCTAAATGCATCAACAGTTTTATTTGACGTCACCTCATACTTCAGCTTCTCATCAAATCTTCTGACCAATCAAATGCTTTCTAGTATCTGACATGCCCTGCCCCCTTCAAGATGCTTCTCACTTGCTTTTCATTTGATGCGCTTGAGCTCGACCACTCTCACTGGCAGAGCCGTGATAAAAACAAAACCCTATTGGCTGTTTTTTATAAATGTAAGGAGCTACTCTATGTCCCGCCCTGTTTATATATATTAGTTGAGATTACCTCAAGCAAAAAAATACCCAGGCCCATACCCGGCCATCGACAGCAGAAGGAGCCCCCCTCCTCCACCAGGTAAACCTCAACCAGTAGTTGGGCAGCCGCGTTGGGCGTGAGCACAGGTTGAGCCGCTGAGGTGCAGATCTTGTAGCAAATATTCAAATGAGAATAAGAGCTTTGAAGGCCAAAGTGGAGAAGGGTTCCATGTGGACAGCAGTTGAACATGGGTCAGTCGGTCCTAAGGGATGGGCGAATGCCATTCGGAAGGGAGAAGCGATGGTCTCTGTCATCCCTGGCTAATCGAAAGGGAGTCAAATTCCTGAACCCGGAGTGCTGGAGACATGCACCGCGAGGTGCCCAGTGCGGTGACACAAACAAACAGTAGCCGGCAGGATACTCTTTTATCTGTGAAGGGGAGGGCGCCCTGGAATGGGTTTGCCCTGAGAGATGGGCCCACACCCTGGAAAGCGCAGCCGTTCTGGTGGTGTTTGGTGAGCTCTCGTCGGCCCTTGAAAATCCAGGGGAGAAGGTCTAAGGCCCCATTTACACTAATGCGTTTTAGTTTGAAAACTGCGTTTTAGAATGAAAACGAACCGCGTCCACACTAGCGTTTCACACAGCATTTCTGAGCAGCTCTCTGTCTACACCAAACAACTGGAAACTCGCATCACGTGACCACACACACACACACACACACACTGGCATGTGCTGCAGCCTATCTAGCCAGATGAGAGCTGTGCTTGTCAGAGTGTTCATGAAGGATCTCCCGCTGAATACAATCTCACTATATTTGCTAAATGTGATATTTAACTCATCTTGTTTTCTCTATCTAACGGCATATTCTCTGACTTTGGTCTTTTGAATATATTACTTGTTCTTAAGTAACATGTTTTGGCTGAACGCAAAGATAAGTCAATAATTAATGTAACCATGTACATTCTGTATATTGACTGATTGCTTGCCTTTATTTCCTATAACTTAAAAACTTATTGTACGTTATACTTTTATAATGGCCATTATTGATTATTAAAACTGATATTCAGCTAAAGAGAGGATGTGTTTCGTATTGTCAATGAAAATGAAAGGAGGCAGTAATGTTATAGGCTCCATTTTGTTATAAATATGCCTACAGTGAATCTGATGCTCATATAAATATGTAGCTACACGGCGCCTCAACATTTCTGCTGTCTGTTAAGTTGTCAATATCAAAATGTAAATATCAGTTCCTTATATCATGTTATCATTTTATTGTTAAGAAAGTAAAACAACGTATCCAGGATGATGTGAATAAGGTTATAAAGTACAATGTCCTCGAAAGTCTGTTTTCCATATCAAACTTGCAAAGTCTCAACTTACAAAGTGAGGATGCAGGACTGAAGTGTGGAAGGCTACTTAATATTGAGGAAAAGCCCCAATCAGAGAGGTGAATGTCTGCAGCCCCGCCTCCATTTTCAGATGTCACCGTTTCCCCCCATCCATACTGAGATGAAGCAGCAGCGTTTTAGAATGAAAACGGCCTCTCTAGCGTTTCCAAAACGCTCTGTTTTCGGTGCTCGAAAACTCCGGCGTAGTGTGGACAGATGGCGTAACCGTAGCAAAACTTATGCGTTTTCAAACGAAGTCTTGTGCCAGGATGTACCCATATCCGCAGCAGGTCTCCAAGGTGAACAGCCTCTGTTGTGTTGGAACAAGGCAGTTAAGGGAAGTCGGCAAGTCAAAAGTCAAATTAAAAAAGGCACATTTCTAAGCACCTTTGAAAATTTTTTTTAAACAAGTTTAGAGTCTAACATTGATGACGAGGAAGAGGTTACAACGTCTAGACTGAATCAGATCCTTTCTGAGTAAACTTGATTCATCTCATACACTAGGATGCTAATGTTCTGTTCAGATGTGCTAGCCTTTGCTAATATGCATGTAGCGTCTTTCCAATTGCTGCAATTGTTGGTAGAGTGAGCAAGTTTTGTACGCGTATAAGTTAGAGTTCGCAGGCAAGATGCAGATAAAATGTCTTTAATTTTTTCCCAATACAGCTTTTCTTTAGCAAACCTGCTTTAAAACACTGATGTCTAAATACTTTATAAAGTCCATCCCAAAACAACAGTATTCTATCATCCATATTGTACACTACTTTGTAGTACGGTTAAAAAAAACAACTGATTCCTACCAATGCAATTCTTCTCTCGATGCAGTGATGCCACAGTTATACAGTATCATACCGCCACCTAGTGGCCAAATGTCATTTTAAAATGAATGACTCCAACAACGAATAACTTTTTTTAGTAAAATTTTCTTCACAAATAAAGAAAAAACACAAGACAATGCATAATAAGTGTGTTTAAGAATTATGTTGACTAAGTGTCTTCAGGGTAAAACTAACAGCATGCAGTCATAATATTAGTAATAGTAATAATAGTAGCTTTAGCAAGCTTTAGCAGGCACATTCAGAAATGAAACATTATCAAACTTAAATAAACTTGTTTTGGATGTTAAGTTACCGCTAGAACTTTTGATATTTGCTCATTCTTCAGAAAGGATGTTGAGCGGACCCTCGTGTGTGGTATAGCATATATTTTGCCCAAATATGTATCACTTCACCAGCATTCCTCTGCACATTAATTTTCTTTTCGGCTTAGTCCCTTTAATCTGGGGTCGCCACTGCGAAATAAACCGCCAACTTATCCAGCATATGTTTTACACAGCGGATGCCCTTCCAGCTGCAACCCATCACTGGGAAATACCCATACACTCTCATTTACACTTATACGCTATGGACAATTTTAGCTTACCTAATTCACATCTACCACATGTCTTAGAACTTTTGGGGGAAACCGAAGCACCCGAAGCAAATCGGGTATAAATGCAAACTCCACACAGAAATGCCAACTGGCCCAGCCGAGGCTCGTACCAGTGACCTACTTGCTGTCAGGCGACAGCACTACCTACTGCGCCATCACATTTCCTCTGCACATTTCCTTCCAAAATTATATTGAACCACAATGTCTCAAGTGTTTTCGATGTTGGGAATCTATAGATACTTACATTCAGAATATTGTCTGTCGGTGGGACGGTACCTTTTCTTTTGTACCTTTAAGATTCCCTTTTGCATCTTTAAGTTACTTTGAGGTATTTGTACTTTTTAGGTGTTAATATGTACCTTTAATGACCTATTAGGAACAAAAAATTTTTCTGTTGAACACAAAAGAAGATATTTTGAAGAATGCTGGAAAGCGGTAACCATTGACATCCATTGTAATAATAAATAAATAAATAAAAATACTATTGAAGTCAATGGCTATCGGTAACATTCAACAGAAAAAAAGAAATGTAACTAGTTTGTAACAACTGGAGAAAGAATAAATGATGACAGGCTTTACATTTTTGAGTGAACTGTCCCTTTAAGGAATGGTAATAATGCATGATAAGATTTCTTCATATGTCACTAGGGGATTCAAATCTAAAAAGCACTTTTTTTTTTTTCAAGTTAGATGAACAACGTTTACCAAAATAATAATCTATTTTATTATACTACATTATAGAAGCACTTAATCCCCCGAAAGTCATAATTTCATAACATGTGCCCTTTAAGAAGACTAAAGTGAAAGCAAGAGCGAGGGAGGAAACGGGCGGTAGTTTTTCTAGGTGATGGAATCTGTTGAGGTTTGTCATGGTGGTTTTGTCTTACACGTGATTCGGTTTTGTTCCCCACGCGATGTTACACTTTATACTTTTATCAAGTTTGTCTGACTCTGCTGTCGTGAATGCATGTGTTGTTCTGAAGGAGGAATCGCATGATTTGTAAGATGACTTCTTTGGAGACATTTTAGGGAACAAATTGGCTGTTTTTTATTTATGTGCTTGAATTTTTTTGTTGTTTCGCAGACGGTTCACGGTATCCGGAGTTTCAGACTTGCAGGTCTGAATTGGTTTCTTTTCGAGACTCGGGCAGCGATACAGATGGATTTCTTAGTCCTGATGCTGGAGAGGATAATGTCTTCAGAAAGGTAAAAATAAAACAAGCTTGGTTTTTCTTCCGTTTGCTGCTACATGTGTTGTTCGAGTGCTTGCTGAGGCATATCAGGGTGATATTTGATATATTGGTCTGTATAAACTTTTTACTTGTTTGCATAGTAATTCTTATATTAATTAATGTAATATTTTTTTGTTTGTTTTACATTTTTCTTTATTAAATATTTATGTGTATTTATTTTAATTTATTTACTTAATGCATGTACCTATATTTTTTGTTATATTTTATGTAGTTACTAGTTAGTGTTTACTATTTTTGTTTTTACATAAAATTACTAATGCAGGCCTTCTGAAAAATGTATTTTGCATTATGAATGTATTATTTTTTACATGGTTATTCACATTTTTATATGTATTTAGTTTCCTGTTTATTTGTATTTTTATTAGTTTAATTAATTTTTATTTTATTTTATTTTATTTGTTTTATTTATTTTTTTATTGCACACTTCCATTCATCATTCACAATACATATCTCGCCGTTTTCAATAGTTAGAAAGAACATATAATAAAGTTGTAATGATGTGAACAATTTTATTTTGTTTTGTTTTGTTTTATTATTTCCTTTAAACTAATAATTTAATATTATCATGTGACCAGAATTCTTTTATTATTATATATTTTGTAATTTTTATTTTATTCGATTTATTTTTTATAATTTTTATTTTATAAATTTTATTACTTCACTTTATTTAAATAAAATGTAACTATTTACTTCATTATCCATCATCATCATCATCATTATAATTTATATTATTCATTTATCATGAATTATCTTTATTATTTTTATTGTTTTCACTTTTACAATTTTTTTATTATTTTTATTTAAATGTAATTATTTACATTTATTATCCTCATCATTATTATTCATATTATTTATATAATAATTATTTTTATTATTTTTATTTTTATTGTTGTTTTTATA